ACCTCGAATCTCGGTTGATTCGCTATCTACCGCTGTTGTTCGGCGGTCGCGCTGTTTACCGTTTTGGAGGACGCGCTGTCCTCTTGCGCTTTCGGTTCGCGGTGTTCTGCGTTTCCTTGTTTCGTGACGTAACGATATGCATCGTTACAAAGTTACATTTAGACTGTAGTAGCAGGTAAGTATTGGTTTTAATTTTCTTTTATTCATAGCATATCAAGAGTTTTTTAAAATTCAATACCAGGTAAGTTTAATGTATAACTGACGCCTCCAATCTTCAAAAGGGAAAACCAATATTTTTGAAAATGTCGATAAACCCAAAAATTATTTTTCTCTTATTACAAAGAAGTCCACGGCGTTCTTCCTGACAATGAGTAATGCTGAATGTAGTTCAAAGAAGAATTTCTGATTCTTATTCAGCGACTGAAGAAGATTGAAAATTCCAAGTTTCATAAAAATTTAGTTCTGTTTAAAAATCAGTTCGCCATATTGGATCCGCCATTTTGCATTTTCAGAAACTGACTTCAAATTGGAAATCAGCGAGGCCAAAAAGCTTTAGATGCCAAATTTTATACGAATCCTACAAACAGTTTGTAAAGTATCTCTTACCCCCCCCCCCTCCAAAATTTGAAGGGGCGATTTCCACTCCAAAATTCGTTTTTGGGGAAAAACAAAAAAAATACGTGTCTAATAGTTTTGAAGAACTACTTGTATGCGCAGTTTCAGGAAAATCGGTGATTATCACTTCCCTAGTGTTACTTGTTAGGTGGGAGCTAGGCGGAAGACGAAGCTCGGACAGCGAGCTAACAAGTGAAGAGGTGGATGCTCATACCTCGTCAGGAACTCCGAATTCAATGGGAATGGTGAGCTGATTACAAGGGGAGGTAACTTTACCTCACCAAATTGGACAGCCCCCCCTTGGTGGAACCGCCCCTCTGGCGGACGGAGTCGGCGCCGGGAGGTCCAGCGCTTCTTAAAGCGACGGCACCTTGGTGCGGGCCTTTCCGGCCCTTTCCGGCCACTTTCCTGGTGGGGATCATTTTTACTGAGTATAGAAGGCAGCAATGAGAGAAAAGGGCGCTTGGCTGTGTGGATACTGGACACTCCCTTGCGTTAGTACGGGTTGGGATTATGGACGGGGGTCCAAGTCTCGATCCAGCCACTCTCCCAATTGGGAGAGGGGGCCCGGCGTGGTAGGAATGGCCTACACCGCTGAAACCGGACAGAGCCGCAAGGCCACGGCTGGAGGGAGAGCGGAAGTAATGCGAGAGCGGCCCCCCCCCTCACTAAGCTGTGAGGATGGTCACCCCTGGGTGTTTTAGCGGGTATATGCTGAATTTTGTTCAGCGGAAGCCCCACATACCCCCGGAGAGACCCCCGCCTCTCGAAATGCGTAATGCATTTCCCCCACGTAATAAAAAAAAAGTGAGCAATGCTTTTGGGGCGCCATATATGCACACAAAATTATTAACAAATGCTTCCGCTATATCAACGACCGTAGTTTGCTTTATCGGGATGGCTATAAAATATTTGGTCAAAAGATCTTGGATGGTCAGGATGTATGTGTGTCCTGTCCGTGTCGCAAGTAGTGGTCCTGTAACGTCCATTGAAATTTTTTCAAAGGTTTTGCTAGGGGTCTCCGTAATTCCGCCGGTGGATGTGAGAGTCTGCACACAGCCGGCGAAGGAGGTGGAGGTTTGCCTGGAGGGGCAGAATAAAGCCTAGAAATGGCCACCAAGCCCCTCCAGGCAAACATCAACCACTCCGCGGGGGCCCAGGACCTGCTCCTACAAGCCCTCGCGGAGCGGAATGGAGCTCTGGCACTCGTGTCGGGCCCCATCACATACCTGAAAGGGACAGTAGATGGTTGGGGCTCCGGCGCGAGCACCCGGGTGCCGCGATCTACTGGCGCCCGCGAGAGGAATCTCCCCGCCCAAAACTAATCAGGGCGGAGAGGTATATCGTGGCGGCGGAGTGGGGCGTAATGAGGGTGGTCTCCGTGTATGCCCCTCCACGCTCGAGAGAGTGGTCGAGGGCCCGCTTCGGGGGCTTCTTGGAGCAGGTGGGGCGCGTGCTGGACGAATGCGCGCCCCACCCAGTGATAGTCGCCGGGGACTTCAACTCCCACGCCAGGGAGTGGGGTTCCCGGCGGACGGACCCCCGAGGCCAAGACCTTCTCGAGTGGGCGGCGACTAGGGGCCTGTTCCTCATTAATACAGGCTCCGTGAGCACCTGTGTGCGTCCGCAGGGCGAGTCCATTGTGGACCTGACCTTCGGCAATCGCCCTGCGGTGCGCACAGTCAGGGGATGGAGGGTGGCGACCGAAACGGACATCAACTCCGATCATCTGCTGATCGAGATGTCCGTGGTCGCCACCTCGAAGGAGGTGCTCCGTCGTCGCCGGGAGGGGGCCGGATCGAGGCCACCGCGCTGGGCACTCCGCCGCCTAGACGAAGACGCCCTCAAGGCGTCGGTGATCGCGTCCTCCTGGGCGGGGGGGGTTTTGAACCACCCCCCCATTGCTGGCCCGGGAGGACATTGAAGAGGAGACGGCCGGACTCGGGGAAGTCATGGAGGCAGCCTGCGACTCCTCCATGCCCCGAGCTCGGCCCACCCCCCGCCGTGCCGCCTATTGGTGGTGCGAGGAGGTGGCGGAGCTACGGAGGTCCGTCATCCTCCTCCGGCGTCGCGTACAGCGCATGCGCGCGGCACGGCGGAGGGGGCAGGCATGGGAGTTGGCGCGCAGGTCTCTCCGAGCCGCGCGGAGAGACCTGCGCAAAGCCATAGCTAGGGCCAAGGCCCAGGCGTGGCAGCGGCTGCTCGAGGAGCTAGACAGGGATCCGTGGGGGCGCCCTTACAGAATTGTCCTCGGACGTTTAAGGGCTTGGGCGCCCCCAGTCACGGAGGATCTGGACCCTCTGGCGCTCGATAATGTGGTGGGGACCCTCTTTCCCACGGCGGGGCCGGAGCCCCTGCCGTATGACGGCCCCCCGCCTGGATGGGAATCGCGCCTGGGGGTCACCGAGCCAGAGCTCGCAGCCGCTGCCAAAAGGCTCGGGGGCAAGTCCAAAGCCCCCGGGCCAGACGGAGTGCCGGGCAGGGTGTGGGCCTTGGCCCT